CACGATCTCAGTGCCATTTTTTGTGGAAACTGACAAGCTCATTCTCAAATGCATGTGGAAAAAGCACACAGAAGAGGAGAACCCTCGTTGAGAAAATGGGAAGATTTTTCCCTAAGAGATATCAAGATACCATGAAACTCTAGTAACCACAAGCTGTGATCACAATACATAGTGAATCTTCAAATTTTTAAAATTCTTATGGTAAAAGACACATTGTCGGGGGGGAGGGGGATTTAGCTCAGTGGCACCACATCTGCCTTGCAAGCACAAGGTCCCAAGTTCAATCCCCAGTACCAAGAAAGAAAAAAAACATTGTCACTAGTCTCCCTCACTTCAATTATATCCATCATCCTTGCCACTTTCTCTAGCAGCTCTGGAAGTCCTCTGCAATGTCTTTATGATGTGTGATAAAAAACAGTGAGTGCTGCTGCCAAGTGTCATCCAACAGAAACGTAGCCTCACAAAAATATTAGTGTATCCTCATCTACCCTTATTCACCATATCTGGTACTGTGTGACTTCTGGCTCTTACCCAAAGTGAAAAGGACCATGAAAAAACATTTTGAGTCTTTTCAGGATGTGAAGGCAGCCACAACATCACAACTAAAGCCAAAAAGATTTCCAGAACAGCTTTAGCGAGTGGAAAGAAGGATGAGATCCGCGCAGAGGGAGTATTTTGTGGGGAAATAATGACAATGTGCCATTTATGGGGAGAGAGCCCAGAAACTGAACATCTGTATGGAAACATGAGGATACGGTTTCCTAACAAGAAGCACACATCAGAGGCCTGTAACCAGCCCCTCCCAAATTTATCAAACAGCACTTCTCCAGAGGCGGTCCTCTTAAACACCACACCCTTCATTAGGATCCACTACTGAAATACAATGTTCACCACGGACTAGAGGTGTGATTCAGCAGTAGAGCAAGTACTTAGCATGTGTGAAGCCCCAGCTTCCATCTCCTGTTCATACTCAGTCTAGTCCAGTCTTTAACAACTCATCAGGAAAACTATGGCAGAAGTACCAAATCCCAAACGAGATGAACTTACCTAGTAACAGCCGAAAAAGAAAAGCGGCCAAACATCCAGAAACCAGTCCGACACTGGAGGTAGGCCTGGAGGTATTAGAAGTGGCCCTGGTATATCCTGCTAGGCCACGTTGTTCTTTTGCATATAAATAATCTTACAAGCACCAGCATCAGACACCCTTTAACTGATGAAGTGAGGTGAAATAACCATTTTGTAATTTTGGCACAGATGAAATAACAATTGCTATGTAAACCATGGATTACTAAACAACCTCTCTCTCCCAGCTACTGCGAGGGACTGGGGCTTCTTCACCAATTGTGGCTTTAACCTGGCTCCAATCTGCCCTCTTTCTAGGTAAGTTTCAGTATCCCATCAGCAGACAGACTACACATAATGTTCCTGTAGTACCATACTGCCAAATGATGTTATGACAACATTGCCGGTGCATTTCTCTGACCAATGACTGCATATAGACAGCACCCAAGTGAGGGTGAATCCTTGCTTTTTTGGATCCTTTGGACCCTCTCCAAAGACCACATCCTAGCACCCTTTTATTGAGAAGCCCCAGGCCCCTAAATTATGCCCTCACTGTGCAGCTTCCCATGAAGAGTACATATTTGTTGCAAGGACAATGAGCAGCCCAATTTGTCCAACTGTAGGTATGTTTACAGAGGTGTTTAGCTGAAGATGCAATGTTGTCATCTTCCACCAACATCAGTATTTTACAGAGTAAACAGATGCAAGGAGGTATTGGGATTTGAAGTTACATGACTAATTAAAATTCTAACTACGGCTTGTTAAGGGTAAGACATTGCAAATAACTTCCAAACAAGAAGAGAAACAAATAGCTTTCAGTTCAACACAGTTCAATGTCTTCAGTCAAATGGAACTCACCAAGACTTATAGTAAAACTTAAAATGAGGGAATTCAGCAAATGAGTGTCTATATTATTTTGTGTACATTTTCTTTCTTTTACCTTGTTCGGCAACTTGAACTTTCTTAAGTGTAGGTAATTGTTACAAGGACAAACCACACTCAAGCTAATAATTGCTTTTCAATGAACAAAAAGTGAACTTCTCACCAAAGCTGTTAGAGTAACAGTGAGCATACATTACTATTGTTACTCTTTCAGATTCATATACTCATTTTTTAAAAATTGTTCTAGTCCCTACTGACTTCACCAGCTTTCCGTGTTTTCCCTCACTGAGATTTCTACAGCCACTGTTGGGTAAGCTGCCATCAATTATGAATGTTACAAAAAGGCAGGGAAAACTGTTTAAGCACAGAAAAATTATCCAGAAAATGTAGGAGATAAGATTGAGGCTAGATAGTGCTGAAATTCTGATAAAATGTTAACACTAGAATTTATGTATTTGACAATAGATTTGCTAATTTCCAATCTTATGCTAACACCCCCTCCTTCCAAAAAAACATACAGAAAGAAATAATACTGCATTTCTAAAAATGGTGAAAGCTAAATGTCTTAGAACAAATAATTTTATATCTCATGAGAATTTCCATGTCCAAGGTAAAAAATTTTTTATTTGTTTGTTTTGAGACAGGGTCTCACTATGGAGTTGAGACTGACCTGGAACTCACTATGTAGTCCAGGCTGGTCTCGAACTCACAGCGATCCTCCTGCGTCAGCCTCCCCAGTGCCAGGAATACAGGTGTGTGCCACCCGGCCCCAAGGTAAAAACTTGTGATTTTTTTTTTTTTTTTTTTTTTGGTACCGAGGATCGAACTTGGGACCTTGAGCTTGTAAGGCAGGCAGCAGCACCACTGAGCTAAATCCTCAGCCAATTAATTTTGATAGACATACTGAGCATTGTACAATGTCCACCTGCTTAGTTATGTAAACATGAAAATGACTAAATACTTTAGAGAATACTGTGTTTCAAGTAAGTTTGTAGCTTTCTAAAGTTTCCCTCACATTTTTTTATTCTGAAGGTGTTATAAAAACCTATAGACAAGTGGTGAAAAATAAAACAATAGCCATATACTCTTCATTTAGATTCCCCAATTGGTAATATTTCACCACATTTGCTTTTTGTCTTTGTCCATTTATTTTTCTGAGGCATTTGAGAGTTAGATGCAGACATCATAATTCTCCTAAGTTTTTAGTGTGTATCTCCTAAGAACAAAGGACAGTCTCCTACACAACTACAGTATAATTATCATTATCAGGAAAATTAATTTCAGTGTTACTATCCCATATACAAATTATATTTGCATTTCCCCAAATTGCATTGTCCTTGTTTTTCTGAATTCAGGTTTCAGTTAATGATTCCACATTACATTTAATTGTTACATCTCTACTCTCCTTTAATCATACCGTTCCTAGACTTTTTTGTTTAGCACATTATTTTTGAATTGCTCACGTCAGTTATTTTGCAGAATGTCCCTCAATTTGAGTTTGTCTTACTTTGATTAGATTCAGGTCAGACATTTTTGGGAGAAATCCTACATCAGTAAGGTTTGTCTTCAGTTCAGGAATGCCCCTGAGTTTGTCCTATTACTGGTGACCTTCAGCTTGATAATTTACTTAATATCCGCAAATTTCTCCATTGAAAATTATTCTTTTGACACTGAGACTATGTAAATATCCTTCCACGTATTTATGTTTTAACATGCTAAGCCGGGCGTCGTGGTGCACACCTGTAATCCCAGCACTCAGGAGGCTGATCCAGGAGAATCGCTGTGAGCCAAGACCAGCCTGGGCTACATAGTGAGTTCCAGATGAGTCTCAGCTACATAGTGAGACCCTGTCTCAAAAAACCGAAAACAAAAACCAAAACAAAACAAAATGTTAACTTTTCACTCAGTGCATTTAGGACCCACACATTAGGGACATTTCTAAATAGAGCAAACCGTAAATCTGAAAGTGCCTGATGGGGATTTGTAGAATAGAAAATCGTGATACCTTCTCTTAAATATGTGGTGGACAAAAGGCAAATTGAATAGAGAAGTGTGTACCAAGAGTATATATATTATATATATGTAATATATAGTTTTACGTTTTCATTAAATAAAAAAGTAAAGTTTTTAAAAAATGCATGTATTTGTAAAGTTCATCTAACAAGATTTGTACATATGACTGCACAGAAATTTTGTCTTTAGAAGAACTATAAATAGGGCCAGGGATTTAGCTCAGTGGTGCCACCGCCTGCCTCGCAAGCAGAATGATCCGAGTTCGATCCCCAGTACCGAAAAAATAAAAAAGAAAAGAACTGTAAATATTCAACTCTAATGTGAGTTGAAGTATTTGTGGGTTTAAGTATAATATCGTATTTTAAAAAATAAAGATGGTTAGCTTGAAGAACAGAGGGATTGATGTGAAACAGCAAATGTACACGTGTTTACTGAACAAGCCATTCTAATATTCTATACACTTGCATTGAAATGTTTTCTCAATAGGTAATTTTAAGCCAACATTACAAAAGTGCCACGAGAGGGTTTTTTTTTTCCATTGAATTTATTGGTACTTTATAGGAAAACAGTACAGTTACATTCATCATTGGGATCTTGTACCCTTACATGACAGATCTTGGTTCTCATTTCTTCCCCATACCCCTGTCCTCCCTTCATCCCCTCCACCCTCCCCTATTTACAAAAACTTTGCTTCCATTTTTTTCTTTTTCTCATATTTTTTCTTTTCCCTTATTTCCTTTCCGCTACCCCTCCTACTTCCCCTACATTTTTAGCCCTTTTCTATTTCACATTATCAATTATACAATTTAAATCTTATTTACACTTTGTTTTTCACACCAGAAAACTATTCAGTATTTACACCTGCGTGTCCTATTTATTTCACTTGAGTATGGCCTCAATAGGCATCCACTTCACCGCTTTGAAAAGCAAGATTCACGGGCAGGCAGTGGCTGACAACTGCGAAAACATCACAGCCTCCCACAACCTGTCCTCACGCAGTCAACCAAGCCCCAGACACCCGGTTTGGCCGCCTCCGGCTTGCCCGGCCTCAGTCTGTTACAACACACTCCATCACCTGGTTCCCAGAACTCAGATTGCGCAGTGGTCTAGTCATCATGGGCCAGGGCTCACCGTTACAGCGGCGGGGGCCTCCCTCAACCTCCTCCTAGCCTACCCTCACCTGCTCGTCCCTCACCCCTAATTCTCCCGCACCAGGTCCCCTGGCCCCACGTAGCCTGACACGTTTCATAATCCTCTCAGGCTCCAGGCAAGCAACGCCGCCCACAATGGGGCCTGATCATATAAGGAAAATACCGCGGGCTCACTGGGGGCTGCACGGGGGACACTGGAGAGCCCTGTCCCCTACTACACTCGCCTTCCCCGCTTCCCGCTCCCAGCCTCCCCAGCTACCCAGAATCCCGCCGAGCCTCCAGCTAATCTACCTTGACTTCCGCCCAGAAGTCTGCGCAGCCGCAGGACTGCGCAGCCAATCCCGCCGCACGGTGTCCCGCCCCGGCGCGCGATCTCCCACCTCACCTCTCGGATCCTCCCGGGCATTTGGCCTCCCGACCGCTAGTAGTTGTTTACGCGACAAGCAAAGACCAAGGGCGGGAGGGAGGGGGAGATGGGGGTTTTGCAAATCAAGGTTAGTTGGCAAAGGAAATCTGTAGATGTGGAAACTGTGGAAATAGCTGCAAAGTCTGTAAAAACTGTAATGCCTGTCTTCCCGGGCCTGCTCCCCGGAGATGGTGGCACCCTTGGTTCCCACGGGATGGCCAAAAGGCGCGTGGCGCCCACAGCGGGGCGGGGCGGGGCGGGGCCGAGCAAAGAGCCAAGGGAAGTGGGTGAAAGGGCAGGGGCGTGGCATCGCGGTGAGCCTAAGCGGTCGACTTTAAGGCTTGACTGCCCCTGGTCTCCTTTGGACCTCTAGAACTTGCAAAAAGCGAGTGTTCTTCGCCGCGGGCCCAAGTTGCCACTATGGCCCTGCTCAGAGGTGAGCGCCGCCCCTCCTCGCCTCTCGGGTCTGATCCCACGCCAGGCCGGGCCTAGGCTTTCGGGCTCGGGACAGTCAGGGGCCTTGGGAGAAGTTCAGTCTCTTGGGCTGTGGGGGAGCCTCGAGATCGTTTGCGTTAAGGAAAATTCTGGTAAGGTGCAGCGACAACGATCTCAGTGTAAGTTTCAGGGGACTGAGTGGAGACCAAGGTTAGCTTGTCCTGACCTTGGAGGTCGCTCCTTCGCGTTGTAGTGACCCATGGCTTCGAGCTCAACTCCTGGGCCGTCCCCCAAAGCTCGAGTAGCCTGGGGCAGAGTAGCCAGAGGAGCCCGACCCTCTGGGGAGGGCGGGGGATTGATGCTTCAAAAGGTGCCCCCGGGAACTTCTGCCCAAAGCATGTTTGAATACCTGCCTATCTTACTTTCGTTTGAGCGACGACTGGCAGTGCTGGGATTCTAGAGTTATTGACTTTTTTTTTTTAAAGTGATGTAAATTTTAATTTTCATAACAAGCCATCAGAGTCAATGGGAGAATATTCAACTAGGACGCATCAAAGCCCTCAGACGGGAAGGTTTCACAGGATCTAAGAGCTGAACATTTTGGTGGTATAAGGACCCATGGGCTCTGTGAAAAAGGTGTTTTATTGTAAATGCCATGGAATGCAATACAAATATTTAAAGCAGGGGAATGACAACGGCTGGTTTCTACTGGGCCTGATTTCCTGCAGGCTCTGGGAAAATAAAAAGGCCGTTTAAGGATCTATTGCCGAGGTCGGGGCAACAGCAAATTATGGTGTTGACTGTGTGACAGAGTGATTGGGTATGGTGAGTAAGAGAAGGAAACGGAAGGAATGATTACAGGTTTCTGGCTTGAGGAACTAGTTTCGGATGCTACCACTTACAGAATGAGGAAAACTAGGGGAGGTAGAGTTGGAAAGGAGATTTAGAATTCAATTTTAGATCTTTTTGGTACTCGGGATCGAATTCGGGGCCTTTTGTGCTTGCAAGACAGATGGCAGGCGTTGGAACCACTGAGCTAAATCCCCAGCCCTAGGATTCAGTTTTAGGCGAAGTTTTTGTGCCTGTGTAACATCCGCCCGGAGGATGTCAAGTAGGCATTGGTTAGGGAATTTGAAAATCAGAAGAGCCAAAAATTGCATGTGAACAAATCAAATGCAAAGTATATATTTTGTCGCAAAATGCCGTGTGTCCAGTTTTCTACAATATAGGTTTCACTTACCAGTCCCCTTACTAATTCAGAACTTAATTACATTTACTTAATAAAGGAGCACGTTGACATTTTTAAACCCAGTTGGTTTAGAGGCTGCCTTTGTAATGAGCTATCTTTAAAAAGAAATAATATTCTTACTAATGTCTCACTTTACTATTTTAACAATAGTTGTTACCTTTTTCTGGTAATACAGGCTCGTGAAAATAGTGAACCAATAAAGGGAAAAAATGTACACCAACACCTATATTAAAAGAAATAGGAAGTTTATAAATTTGTGATGTTTTACTAACAATGTTTGATGTGGTAGTCTTATCTGTCCCCCATTACTCTATTTTATAGTTAAGGACACTGATGTCCAGAAAGTTAAAGTGGGTCATTTGTAACAACATAGGTAGGTAGTGGGTATGACTGGAAATCAGGCCTTTGGGCTTCAAAAAGTAATTGTTGTATACTACTTGGAATACATTACAGGACCAGGGATTTAGCTCAGTGGCGCTGCGCCTGCCTCACAAGTGCAAGGTCCCAAGTTCGATCACAAGTAGTAAAAAAAAAAAAAAAAAATGTACATAAGGACAAGGCAGGTTTCTCTAAAATTTCATACAAAGTGCTTACAGGACTGACTGGTAGTGAGAAAGCAGAGCACAGGACTGATTACTGCTAAGGAAAAGGACACATTTGAACATACTTAACATTGGTAAAGCTTGTCATTAGCTGATCAGATTTCAGTCAAGAAGAGCCAATGCCCCAGATTTATCTTAGCATCCATCCCACTGCTTAGTGGGAGATTTTCACCCAATATTTCACCAAATATTAAGTTCACTGCTCATTAGATTTACTGGGAAGGTTCCTGTAACTCCTCAAGATAAGCAGCAGAGGAAGCAGAAAAGGATGCCACAGCAGTTTTCCTTAATGGTTGTTTTATTTTATTCTTTATTTTTTAACTAATTTATTTGGTACCAGGAGAAACCTAGGGGCCTTTGCTCTTGTGAGGCAGGTGGCAGAACCACTGAGCCAAATCCCTGGCATCGTGGTTGTTTTCTGTAGTTACTCTAGGAAAATGAATATTTACCTGGGCAGTACTGTTAGAAATGAAGGCAGAGTTCTTGTTTTTCTCCTACTACTGTTTTCCCTCACTGTCAAACCAGCACATCTTGCCAGGTCTGACTTAATGTCTCTTCACTTAAGTTTTTTTGGTACCAGGGATCGACTCGGGACCTTGCACTTGTGAGGCAAGTGGTAGCACCACTGAGCTAAATCCTTGGTCCACTATTTTAAGTTTTTTAAAAAAATCTTTAGCAATTGAATTTTCACAACCTTTTAAACAAAGTTTTAGTAAACAAGATTTTAGTTTTGTGTTAACAAGCAGTAGCATTTTAGACTGTTTAATAATAAGCCACATAAACTTGGTAGTAGATTCAATAAACATTGGCATGATAATGACATGACTTTATGAAATAACAACTTGTAAGTTATCTTTTTTGTTGTTGTTTTGTTTATTTGTTTGCTTGTTTTTTGGTACCAGGGATAGAACTCAGGTCCTTGCGCTTGTAAGACAGACAGCAGAACCACAGCTAGATCCCAAACCCAATTCTTTTTTTTTTGTAAGTTATCTTTGTATCTGCATATCCCAAATTATTTTTAAAGTGTACTTAATAGCATTTTTTCCACTCAAAATGGATGTATTAATTCAGTTAAGGCTGGAAACATTGAGATAAAAAGCAGTGATAAAAGGAAAGGGAAAGTGCTTATTTTTGTTATTTCTCCATACATATTCTTTTGTAGATATTTCATCATAAGCACTACTAACACTGCCTCTCTCAAATATTTTCTTGGATTATGAAATATGGGGGAGAAACTTGTGAACTTTGTGGAGAAACAATTATGAAGTATGGTTAAAATAAGTTTAAATTTTTAAAAAATGTATTATAGTAAAAGATAGATTGACATTAATGTCCTCAGGACATTCTTCCTCACTTCAAACACACTGATCCCACAGTTCTTGCCACTTTCTGAAGCAGTTATAAAAGTTCTCTTTTATGTCTTTATGTCTTTATGAGGTATAATAAAAAATACAGGAGGACCAGGTATTTAGTTCAGTGGTACCCCCATCTGCCTCGCAAGCACAAGGACCCGAGTTCAACCCCTAGGAACAACAGCAACAACAAAACAACAACAACAAAAACAGTAAATGCAGCTGCAACAGAAAAACACACAGAAAAATATGGTGTGTCTTCATCTACCTTTTTTATTAGATCTGGAATTGTATGACTTCTAGCTCTTCCCCAAAGTGAAAATGACCGTGAAAGAAAAATACTTTGAATCTGTTCAAGACATTGAGGCAGCCACAACGGGGTAACTAAAGACACCCATGAAAAAGGACTTCCAGAACTGCTTCAGAAAGTGGCAAAGAGATGGAAAAAGTGTAAGTGTGCTTGGAGAGAGAAAGGTGTTAGGAGCAAGGCGGGGGGATATGTTTTGAAGTATATTAATGGCGAGGTATCTCACTGCAATTACTATTTTTAAAAATTTAAACATTCACCATATTTTTTAATCATACCTGGTAACTTCTACATTTCTGAACAGTCATTAGTGGTCATTTGAATAGCTGAATGATCTGTTTGTAATATGTCATTTTTTCAGGATGCATTTAAGATTTTTTCACCTTTGGATTTTAGAAGTTTCACGATGTGCCAAGATATAGTGTAAGACCTGAATTACAAGCCCATGCTAAATGACAAAGGGCCTAGGAGACAGTGCTCTAACCCCCTCCCATTGTGCCATAGCCCCAACCTTTGTTCAATCCCCGGCCTAGGAATGTAAGGCAATCTTGTGTCGCGAACCGGCGACGCAGAGCACTGTCCCGACGCAGAGCACTGTCCCGCAGTGCCTCAAACCTGAAAGAGCAGCGGGGTGGAGATGGAGCAGAGAGAAAGGAAGGACGCCAAGACAAGAGTCTGATCAAGGCGACATTTATTGCAGGCAGGCATCAGCCTTTTAAAGGAAAAGACCGAACTATTATGGGCTAGGATTACCATAGTAACCTCAATACCTGCTCCTATAGATAACATCAGATCTTTAACATAACAAAATGGAGTTAACAACACCTGACTCCTATAGATCTTTGGCTGTCCTTGTTTCTCCCGTGCAGGGTCAAAACAAGTTTAACACGTGCAGTCCCTTAAAAAGGAACAAATGTTGTCTTTCAAAAAGCCAGTGGGCCATGGCTGGCTTCCCACA